GAAGGGAGCCAGAGCAGACGAGGCACCAGGTGAGCTCAGCGGGGAACAGGTCCCAGATTACCTAGCACCTGGGGGCCACTGTGAGATAAAGCTGGATCTTCCTCTGACGGTTTCAGGAGGTCAGTGGGGCTTCTGTGCCCAGAGCCACGGTCTGGTTGTCCTTGTGCAAAGCTCCTGGGCTTTCCCCGAGTGGAGGATGGTTGTGGTGGGGTCAGGGAACAGGAGCCTGTCATTCGAGTTGATGGATGTTTGAGTGGAGAGGGGCAGGGAGGAGTGGGCGAGGTGACCGCAGCGGAAGGCGGCGTGGAGGCGATCCAGCGGGGCCTGTTGACCGGCTCTTCCTGTCGTGCCTCAGGAAATAGCACTGTTGTGCCCCCAAGCCTGAGCTTCTGCCTGGCACACGGTCAGCACTTACTGAACAGCTCTGAATGAATGGGAAAATTCATCCATGGGACAGGGCATCGAGGCTGACTCCTGAGGTCCCGTCCATCCTGCCTGCATTTCCCATTTGTTCTTGATTCAACGTACAAGTCCTTCCTCTGTCCAGTCTCTTCCCAGGGGCCATCCTTGGGGTTCCTTCTGGAAGTTCCCTTCAGACTCACCCCCTACTCCCTCCTCAGCCCACTGAGGAGCCCCTCCCCCGCAGTGAGGCCCCCACCTTTGCCATTCCCCCTCTCATCTCACCTCCTCTTCTCCCAGATGAAGAAGGACTACCTCAGTGGCGTGGGCGACACTCTGGACCTGGTGGTAATCGGCGCCTACCTGGGCCGGGGGAAGCGTGCCGGCCGATACGGGGGCTTCCTGCTGGCCTGCTACGAGGAGGACAGTGAGGAGCTGCAGGCCATATGCAAGGTCCGCGGGGGACTGGGGCTGCTGGCAGAAGCAGGAGGGAAGTAGATTAGACTCCCGGGGGGACTTCCTGGTGCACAACCCAGACCAAGGGGCATGCATCTCCTCCCTGTGAAGGATTCGTCCTCCTGTTTTAATTTACTTTTTCTGGTTCTATAAGCAACTGTTGCTTCATACAGGAAAACGGGCTGGTAATAGAAAGGGGTCAGGAATGTGTATCAGTTAGAGATTGAGATTAGCTGCAAATAGTGGTGGCTCACATAACAAAAGAATCTTTTTTCTGAGCAGCGTGGATGGGGTGGGCAGCTGTCTGATGTCATGAGGGATTCAGCTTCCTCCTCTGTCTCCCAACTTTTTTTTTTTTTGTCATGTGCCCCTGGCCTCCTCATCACAGTGTGGCTGCAGGAGTTCCAGCCCTCATGGCCATGCCTGCTGTAAGCAGCAGGAAGGAGCAAAGCAGGGTGGAGCTGGAGTCAGCCTCAGCCAGTCAGCCCCTTCTGCTCAAGGTCTGTTGCTCATCACTTGGCTCCATGGCCCACCCTTAGCTGCAAGGAATTCTGGGAAATGTGAAGCAATTTCATTTTTCTCCAGTGTCCTGAACCAGCTCCCGGTGGCTGTGTGGTGAAGCTGTTGCCAGCTTTGTTCTTAAGTGTCAGTGACAAGGGATTTTATAATTCGCAAATATTTTGGCCACCAAGCCACATCTTCATCATTTTGCATTATTTAGGATAGACTGTTAAAAGAGCTGTTGTCAAGCCTGGCGCGGTGACTCCCGCCTGTAATCCCAGCACTTTGGGAGGCTGAGGCGGGTGGATCACGAGGTCAGGAGATGGAGACCATTCTGGCCAACATGGTTAAATCCCATCTCTACTAAAAATAGAAAAATTAGCTGGGCATGGTGGTGGGCACCTGTAGTCCCAGCTACTCAGGAGGCTGAGGCAGGAGAATCGCTTGAACCTGGGAGGTGGAGGTTGCAGTGAGCCGAGATTGTGCCACTGCACTCCAGCCTGGGTGACAGAGCAAGACTCTGTCTCAAAAAAAAAAAAAAAGCGCTATTGTCAGGACAAAACGCAAAAGAAATCCTTAAGACCCTCAATGCAGAAAGGGCTTCCCAGGAGACGTTTGTATCAGTCATTATTGCCCAATCGCTGCATATCTGCCAGCGTCGAGTATTACTGCTAATTTTTAGCCTCTCCTATTTTGGTAGTCATAGCACCTGTAATCCCAGCACTTTGAGAGGCTGAGGTGGGAGGATCGCTTAAGCCCAGGAATTAGAGACCAGCCTGGGCAACAAAGTGAGACCGTGTCTCTACAAAAACTTTAAAAAAAAAAAACTTTTTAAAAATTACCTGAGCATAGTGATGCATGCCTGTGGTCCAGGTACTCAGGAGGCTGAGGTGGGAGGATCAGTTGAGCCCAGGAGGTGGATGTTGCAATGAGTCAAGATTGCACCAATGCACTCCAGGCCTGGGTGACAGAGCTAGACCATTAAAAAAAAAAAAAAAAAAAAAAAAGAATGGGAATGAGGATAGCCAGTTACTGTGCAGAGTGAGGATGTAGGTGGGCTCCTGGGGCAGGAACACAGTGGAAGCAGCAAGGTTTCTCCACAAAGCGGAAGCCAGGCACTGGTTCACAGCAGGCCTGCTGGGAGAGCATTCCCCACCTGGGAGTCTCTGGCTGGATGCTCCACACCCCTAGCTCCTGCTTCCCCTGGTTTTCTGTGGATACTGCATAGACCAGAAGAGGATGGGGGCCAGGGTGTACACAGCTTTAGATGGCTGGAGCAAGGGCTGTGTCCATGGCGAGCTGAGCCTCTGACCTCCCATCTTCTCCCTGCAGCTTGGAACTGGCTTCAGCGATGACGAGCTAGAGGCGCATCACCAGAGCCTCCAGGTGAGCCACGGCCCCTCCACCCCGACGGCGCACCCCTTCCCTGTGGGGCTCTTTGCCTCTACCATCTCAAGGCTTCGGGTGTGGGCAGGAGGGCAGCAGGCAGTGGAGCTGGCTTTGGAGTCCAGCATCTCCACATTCACGTCGCAGCACTGCCGGCTACCAGCTGTTAACCAACCCTGCTCAAGGAGCCTTGCCTCCCCAAGCCCTGTGCCCCAGTCACACCAGGGGGCAGCCACAGGGCACAGCAGGTGCCACAGCTGCTCCTTGTGAAGTGCCTGTGAGTGTGTGTTGTCATGGCCACAGGCATTTCGGGTATGAGAGTCTGTCCTGCATGTTGGATCTGTATTCGTTTATCTTCATACTACGATGAAGAAATAACCCGAGACTAGCCAGGTGTGGTAGCTCATGCCTGTAATCCCAGCACTTTGGGAGGCCAAAGGTCAGGAGTTCATCTCTACCAAAAAGATGGAAATTAGCTGGGTGTGATGGCAGGTGCCTGTAAACCCAGGTACTCGGGAATCTGAGGCAGGAGAATCGCTTGAACCTGGGATGTGGAGGTTGCAGTGAGCTGAAATCATGCCACTGCACTCCAGCCTGGGTGACAGAGTGAGACTCCGTCTCAAAAAAAAAAAAAAAAAAAATACTCAAGACTGGGTCATTTATAAAGAAAAAGGTTTCATGGACTCACAGTTCCACATGTCTCGGGAGGCCTCGCAATCACAGCAGAAGATGAAAGAGGAGCAAAGACAGGTCTTCCATGGTGCAGGCAAGAGAGCGCGTGCAGGGGAGCTGCCCGTCCCAAAACCGTCAGATCTCGGGAGACTATCACAAGAAGCGCACAGGGAACACCCGCCCCCCTGATTCAGTTGCCTCCTACCAGGTCCCTCCACGACCTGTGGGGATTATAGGAGCTATAAGTCAAGATGACATGTGGGTGGGGACGCAGAGATCCCGGCTCCGTCCCATTCTTTGGTTCTCTCTCTCCATTGCCCTCTCTGTCCCTCTGCCTCTTTCGGTATTTAATGTCCTGCCTCAGCCCCCAGGGCCTTGCATTGCTTTCCGTCTCCCAATCTGCCCAACACCTTCCCCAGCTTTTTACTTCAAGGCCCTGTTTCTTTTCCCTTCCCTCACTCTCTCTTTTTATTCCCTTCCTCCCTCTCTGCAGCCCTCCAACACTTAGGCTTGTCTCTCAGATTCCACACCCCTCTGCTTACTGCAGGCCCTGGTGCTGCCCAGCCCACGCCCCTATGTGCGGACGGACGACGCGGTGACCCCCGACCACTGGCTGGACCCCAGCGCCGTGTGGGAGGTGAAGTGCGCTGACCTCTCCCTATCTCCCATCTACCCTGCTGCTCGGGGCCTGGTGAGTGTCGGAGGGCCTGGGCTGGGCTCGGTGTGGGATTCTTGGTGGGCACCCAAAGAGCAGAGTAGGGAGGGGGCCTTGGCCCACAGCTGCTCTTCCAGGTGAGCATCAGGAAGATGAGTTTATCAAGGTCGAAACCTTTTTTCTTTAAAAATGGGCCAGGCACCGTGGCTCACACCTGTAATCCCAGCACAGTGGGAGGCCAAGGTGGGTGGATCACTTGAGGTCAGGAGTTCAAGACCAGGCTGGCTAACAGTGGCAAAACTTCATCTCTACCAAAAATACAAAGATGAACCGGACATGGTGGCGGGTGCCTTTAGTCCCAGCTACTCAGAAGCCTGAAGCAGGAGAATTGCTTGAACCTGGGAGGCAGAGATTGCAATGAGTTGAGATGTCACCCAGGATGGAGTGCAGTGGTGCAAAAGCAAGACTGTCTCAAAAATTTTTTTTCTAACAAATAAAGAATTCCCAGGCTGGGCACAGTGGCTCATGCCTGTAATCTGGCACTTTGGGAAGTCAAGGCAGGCAGATCACCTGAGGTCAGGAGTCGAAGACCAGCCTGGCCAACATGGTAAAACCCCATCTCTCCCAAAAAATACAAAACGTAGCCAGGCATGGTGACCCGTGGCTGTAGATCCAGATACTGGGACGGCTGAGACAGGAGAATCACCTGAACCCGGGAGGCAGAGGTTGCAGTGAGCTGAAATCACACCACTGCACTCTAGCCTGGGCTCCAGAGCAAGACTCCAAGTCTCAGAAAAAGAATGTCCCGGCGTAGTGAGAAAACAGTGACATTGCTCCCTTAGTATCATAATCTCACCTTCGGCTCTGAAATCATTTTCAAAAACTCAGTGCTTTTGAGCAAAGGCTTAGTGCACTTCCTACTCACCATTCACTTGGCTGCAGTTTCTTCCTCAACCATAATGAACTCTCATGCTAGCAGGTTTTAAGACTCCTTGGCTAACTTGTGTCTCTGGTGCTTCAGTCTTCAGTACTCCCGAAACACTGTTGTATACAAGGGAGAACGCTGGCCCATGCCCAGCACTGGGAAACTCCCAGCTTCTTCCCAACAGCAGCAAATCTGAAAGCAAAAATGAGGTTGGGCACCGTGGGTCACGCCCATCATCCCAGCACTTCACAAGGCATGAACATGACTGAGGCCAGGAGTTCAAGACCAGCCTGGGCAAACAAACAGTTGAATTACGTGTATTTTCTTTGCAGTTTCTCCTTATCCTTCAAAGCCAAGCTAGCACATACTTTTTTTTTTTTTTGAGACGGAGTTTCGCTCTTGTTACCCAGGCTGGAGTGCAATGGCGCGATCTTGGCTCACCGCAACCTCCGCTTCCTGGGCTCAGGCAATTCTCTTGCCTCAGCCTCCTAAGTAGCTGGGATTACAGGCACGCGCCACCACGCCCAGCTAGTTTTTTGTATTTTTAGTAGAGACGGGGTTTCACCATGTTGACCAAGATGGTCTCGATCTCTCGACCTCGTGATCCACCTGCCTCAGCCTCCCAAAGTGCTGGGATTACAGGCTTGAGCCACCGCGCCCGGCTAGCACATACTTTTCTGATGAGAAGCAGACTTCCACTTTTAAAGCAGAATTTTTTTTTTTTTTTGAGACATGGTCTTTGTTTTCCAGGTTGAAATGCAGTGACACAATTATGTCTCACTGCAGCCTCAGCCTCGTAACTAGCTGGGGCTGCAGGTGGACACCACCAAACCTATCTAATTTCTTGTATTTTTTTGTAGAGATGGAGTTTTACCATGTTGGCTAGGCTGGTCTTGAACACCTGGCCTCAGGTGATCCACCTGCCTTGACCTCCCAAAGTGCTGGGATTACAGTCATGAGCCACTATGCCCAGCCAAGAGCTTACATTTTTGATCTATTTAAAAAATTTTTTTGGCTGGGTGTGGTGGCTCAAGCCTGTAATCCCAGCACTTTGGGAGGCCGAGGCGGGTGGATCACGAGGTCGAGAGATCGAGACCAACCTGGTCAACATGGTGAAACCCCGTCTCTACTAAAAATACAAAAAATTAGCTGGGCATGGTAGCATGTGCCTATAATCCCAGCTACTCAGGAGGCTGAGGCAGGAGAATTGCCTGAACCCAGGAGGCGGAGGTTGCGGTGAGCCGAGATCGCGCCATTGCACTCCAGCCTGGGTAACAAGAGCGAAACTCCGTCTCAGAGAAAAAAAAAAAAAAAAAAAAAAATTTTTTTACCATGTCATAGACACTCATTCAATCCCGTCCACATATGTCCCTAAGACATAGTAACACACACATCTCCACTGAGGTTGTAGATCCCTAGAGAGCTTGGGTTACTGGCCGAGGATCACGTGGCTCCTGAGAGTTGGGAGCTGGGATTTGCATCCCACAGTCACGTTCTAGAACCCAGACTCTGGCTCCCTAGTTCAGCCTCTGAGCCCGAATCGTCATCATCATCATAACAGCTTTACCAGGCAACATTTCTTAAGCACTTACTGTGCACTGGGTGTGGTTCCAAGCACTTTGTCAACGTGGTTGATCCTTACGACAACCCACTGATCGGCGCCCTCGAGCGGATCAGGAACCAGTCCAGAGTGGAGCAGGGAGGAGACTAGGAGCAGGGTGTCGTGGGGACTGGACCGCAGGAGTCTCCATCCCGCCTCCGCAGGTGGATAGTGACAAGGGCATCTCCCTTCGCTTCCCTCGGTTCATTCGAGTCCGTGAAGACAAGCAGCCGGAGCAGGCGACCACCAGTGCCCAGGTGAGGCCCTGGGGACCAGCTTCTTAGCGTGATGGGGTCTCCGGAACCTTGTGGAGGGGCGGGCAGCCAGGGAGCTTCTGACCATCGCCATCCCACCCTCTCTCCGCAGGTGGCCTGTTTGTACCGGAAGCAAAGTCAGATTCAGAACCAGCAAGGCGAGGAGGACACAGGCTCTGACCCTGAAGATACCTACTAAGCCCGCGCCCTCCTCCCGCCTGGGTACAGGGCACCATTTGGAGGGAACCCAGGGTTATTGCCTTAGCACATCTGCTGCGACAGGCTACGGTTTTTGGGAGTCCGGGGAGGGGTGTGTGTGTCATGGGTGGCTTATACCAGAGTCTGGGATTCATCCCGTCCTTTCTTTCAATAAATAATTATCAGATAGCTACTTTGTGACAAGGTCCGTGCTGGGCTCTGGGGGCAATGCTCTCATGGGGGTCACTTGCACAGCATGTAGCAGTGGCCCAGGAACTACCAGATCAAGCACCAACCATGGAATTGCCTGCAGTGGTGGGCTTTTTTTTTTTTTTTTTTAAAGTCTGGGTCTTGCTCTGTCACCCATGCTGGAGTGCGAGCAGCGCAATCTCGGCTCACTGTGACCTTCGCCTCCCAGGTTCAAATGATTCTCCTGCCTCAGCCTCCCAAAGTGCTGGGAAGACAGGCGTGAGCCACCGTGCCCAGCCAATGGTGGGCATCTTCTGTATCTGCTCTGTGCAGATACAGCATGACAAAGGATGCAAATTTGTTTTCATTTTGAGCCAGAGTTCATGCGATTCTCCTGCCTCAGCCTCCTGAGTAGCTGAGATTACAGGAGTGCGCCACCGTGCCCAGCTAATTTTTGTATTTTTAGTAGAGAGGGCGTTTCACTATGTTGGCCGGGTGGTCTTGAACTCCTGGCCCCAAGCAATCCTCCTGCCTCGGCCCCGCTAAGTGCTGTGATTATAGGCATGAGCTACCACACCCAGCCATAGCAAATATTCTACTTAATTGTATTGGACAGCGGTAGTCTAAAATCTTAACATGCACCTATTTTAACTTGTTTACCCTTCCAGCCACTCCACAAGGGGGCACCATCATGAGCCCTGTTAGGAAAGACAAATGCAGTGTCTTAAAGTAACACGGGTGTATCCTCTGACAGTGCTGGAGGTCAGCAGTTCAAAGTCAGTTTTACTGGGCTGACCTCAAAGTGGTGGCATGGCTGGTTTCTTCTGGGAGATCCAGGGGAGAAATTGTGTCCTTGCCTTTTCTGGCTTCCAGAGGCCACCTGTGTTCCTAGGCTCACGGCTTCTTCCTGTCCTGAAAGCCAGCAGCATCAGGAGACAGATTTGCAAGCCCGACGTCAACATGTCACCACCTCTTCCTCACCCAATCTCTGCCTCTCTCTTCTAAGCACCCTAGTGGTTACATTTTGGGCCTCTGTATGATCCAGGGTAATCTCATTTCAGGGTCCTAACTCGATCCCAAAGTCCCTTTACACATAAGACCACACATTCACAGAAGCCGGGCACAGTGGCTCAAGCCTGTAATGCCAGGACTTGGGGAGGCTGATGTGGGAGGGATCGCTTGAGGCCAGGAGTTCGAGACCAGCTTGTGCCACACAGCCAGACTCCGTCTCCTTAAAAAAATAAAAATGTGGCCAGGTGTGGTGGCTCACGTCTGTAATCCCAGCACTTTGGGAGGCTGAGGTGGGCGGATCACAAGGTCAGGAGTTCAAAACCAGTCTGACCAACATGGTGAACCTCCGTCTCTACTAAAAATACCAAAAATTAGCCAGGCTTGCTGGCTTGTTGCTATAATCCCAGCTACTCAGGAGGCTGAGGTAGGAGAATCACTTGAACCTGGAAGGTGGAGCTTGTGGAGTGGCAATGTCACACCACTGGAATCACTGGAACCTGGGAGGTGATTTCAGTGAGCAGAGATCACACCACTGCACTCCAGCCTAGGTGACAGAGCGAGACTCAGTCTAATGTATGTATATATTTACATAAGTAAAAGAAATACATCACAACGAAAGGTTTCAGCAATTAAGACCTGGATATCTGTGGGGGCTGTTACTCCACCCACCCACATGGGATGTGTTAGAAGAAAACCATCAGGAAATGGTCAGACAGGGCAAGCAGGATGCCTGGACACCTACCCAGCCCCGGACACCACAGGGCTAGGTTGGGGAAAACCACCACAGTCGGGGTAGGGCCCAGGCTGGGGTCTTTCTTCTAAAGCAGGAGGTCTCTTACCTTGGGGCCCAGTGTGGAACACGACTTCCTGGACACCAGACTGTCAGGATGCCCTGATGCTCCTGCAGGAGGAAGAATGGGCTCCTATCTACCCGCTTCCCCTCCCACGGTCTGTGCCTCTCACACCTGCCCTCCCTTCTTCCCTTCTCTCTCCTCAGGCTCCTCTGCCCTCGTCTCCCTCCTGTCCTCTCCCCGCTTCCCTCTCGTCTGTATCTACCAGGCTTCGCTCACTGCTGTGCAGTTCTGTGTCAGGCTCACTTTGCTGTCTCTCTCTGTGACTCGCCCTCCCTGTCTCTCTTCTTGCGTCTCTATCATGGTCTCTTGCCCACGCCATCTCTTGGATATTTTGTTTGTCATAGCCCAAGAATACAATATTGCTTTCCCATTCTCCTTGCAGCTAGCAGGGGCCTTATGGCCCCGTGTGGGCAGACCCAGGGGACATTAGCAATGGGGCTGCTGGGACTTCTGGGGAAACGTCTTTCCTGACCACAAAGGTCAGGTTGTGGCAGCTCTTCCCCTCCTCCTGCTTGGACTAGAGATGACTGCTGGAGCCAAGTCACCACCGTTTTGTTTTTTTTTTTAATTGCATTTTAGGTTTTAGGATACATGTGAAGAACATGCAAGATTGTTGCATAGGTCCACACACGGCAGTGTGATCAAGGCACCACCTTTAAATCATGAGAAAAAGAGTAGGCCAGGCGCAGCGGCTCATGCCTGTAATCCCAGCACTTTGGGAGGCCGAGGCAGGGGGATTACTTGAGGTCAGGAGTTTGAGACCAGCCTGGCCAACGTAGTAAAACCCTATCTCCACTAAAAATACAAAACTTAGCTGGGTGTCTTGGCGGACGCCTGTAATCCCAACTACTCAGGAGGCTGAGGCAGGAGAATTGCTTGGACCCAGGAGACAGAGTTTGCAGTGAGCTGAGATCACATCATTGCAGTCCAGTCTGGGCAGCAGAGCAAGACTCTTAAAAAAAAAAAAAACCCTAGCCCTGACGACCCTAAGCTGGCAGACCAAGAGCAGCAGCTTCATAACTGGGCTTTTTGTGGGAGTGAGGGAAGAATAAGTCCCAGTGTGATTATGCCATTCTAAAAAGTGGCTTTCGTTTCTCAAAGCTGAGAGTTCCTAATACAGCTCTACCTTAAAGAACTGGCAAATTAATATGCATTTGTGTTTCAAGTTCAAATAAAATGTTTAAGGCAAAAAATATTTAAATACTGTATGTCAGGGGATCCCCACATCACTGGCCGTGTGTGGACATCCATGGTTCTCTTGGGCTTCGCTCCTCCTCTCTGCACCTGTGCAGGGCCCCAGGGACACATCTCCTGCCACACATGGCTGCCATGTCCCTCTTCCAGGGCAGGGTCATCCTTACTCCTCAGTGACCCTCGTGATGGCCCCAGCAGGTAAGCACTTTTATTCTCCCCATTTAACAGGTGAGGACACTAAGGCGCAGGGATGTACGTTCCCTTCCCTAGGGCCACTATCTAGGAAGTGGTGGGCCAGGGTTTGGTCCACGCAGTCAGCTCCTCCAGCCGGCATCTGGAACTACTAACTGTACCGCGGAGAGCCTCATGAGCTCCTGGGAGGTGCAGAACCTTATCCCGCAGGCGCGGAAATGGCATGGTCAGGTCTAGGCATGAAAAGATCCTGGATGGCTGCAGTTGTGGGCACTCAAGAGATGAACCTGGAGTTGGGAGGAGCAGGGAGACCATCTTCCCCCGGTGGAATTCTGTTCTAAAACTTGCCTCATGCCTGTAATCCTAGCACTTTGAGGAGGCCAAGGCAGGAGTATCACTCGAGCTCAGGAGTTCGAGACTACCCTGGAAAATGTAGTGAGACCTCATCTCTATTTTTTTTTTTGAGACGGAGTTTCGCCCTTGTTAACCCGGGCTGGCGTGCAATGGCGCGATCTCGGCTCACCGCAACCTCAGCCTCCTGGGCTCGGGCAATTCTCCTGCCTCAGCCTCCTGAGTAGCTGGGATTACAGGCACGTGCCACCATGCCCAGCTAATTTTTTGCACTTTTAGTAGAGACGGGGTTTCACCATGTTGACCAGGATGGTCTCGATCTCTTGACCTCGTGATCCACCCGCCTCGGCCTCCCAAAGTGCTGGGATTACAGGCTTGAGCCACCGCGCCCAGCGCTCATCTCTATTTTTAAAAAAATAAAAATTCAGGCTGGGTGCGGTGGCTCATGCCTGTAATCCCAGCACTTCGGGAGGCCAAGGCTGGTGGATCACTTGAGGTCAGTTCGAGCCAGCCCAGCCACCATGGTAAAACCCCATCTCTGCTAAAAATAGAAAAATTAGCCTGGCGTGGTAGCACATGCCTGTAATACCAGCTACTCCAGAGGCTGAGGCAGGAAAATCACTGGAACCCAGGGGTCAGAGGTAATGAGCCGAAATCTCACCACTGCACTCCAGCCTGGGCAAGAGTGAGATTCCATCTCAAAAAAAAAAGGAAAAATTCAAAACCCATTAAGTTGGGATGATGCTTAGTGCTGGGCTTCAGGAAGAGTAGGCAGCAGGGCAGCATGGGAGGTTTCTAGGAGCCACTCCTGGAAGCAGCACTTTAAACCACTGTGAATGGAGCCAATTCTCTCAAAATTGACACAAAATGAACCAGACTTGGCCCTAAGAACTTTGTGCATTACTTCATTTAACTCCCCCTCACAAATCTATCACCTTAGTACAGTTATTATCTCCATTTTGTTTTGTTTTGAGACATATTCTCCCTCTGTCGCCCAGGCTGGAGTGCCCGGGCACAATCTCAGCTCACTATAACCTCCACCTCCCGGGTTCAAGCAATTCTGCCTCAGCTTCTGGAGTAGCTGCGATTACAGACACACACCACCACACCCAGCTAATTTTTGTATTTTCAGTAGAGTCAGAGTTTTGCCATGCCGGCCAGTCTTGAACTCCTGACCTCAGGTGATTTCACCTCAGCCTCCCAAAGTGCTGGGATTACAGGCGTGAGCCACAGTGCTGGGCCATTATCTCCATTTTTTTGGATCAGGAAACATTACTGGATACAGCTGCTTGTTATGAATCTTGCTAGTAAATGACAGACAGATGACAGTGCTCTCGAACTAAAGACCTTACCGGTACCTATGCTATAAAGAGGCTACTCCATACTCAGCTTCAAATATTTTCTCCAACTCTTCTCAGCTCCCTAATTATATAAATTTAAGTGAGCTGCCAGTGTGATAACCTGATTTTTGCCAGCTAAAATGACTCTCAGACTGAGCTGTTCAGGCTTCACGTGAGCTGCTTGAGCCAGACAGACTCCATCTTAGCTTCTTCGTTTTAGTTACTTTCCCACTATTAAGTATGTAACTGTAGCATGTAGCTGGGGCAGGCTGACACTGGGCACATCCAGGAATGCATCTGCTAATAAAAGGCCAAGTTAAGTGGCCCCAGCAGAGCCCCCAGTATCTGTAAGTTGTATGTCTTTCATAACAGCGTCACCCCTGGCACTATTTTATTCCTCGTGTACTAGTTTATCTTTTAACTGTTTGCTTACTCTGCTTCTGTAACCAATTTGCTTCAGCTAGGTTCCCCCTCCCTTTTCAAACTAGGGTATAAAAGACCACCTAACTTTTCCTTAGGGGCTGAGAGAATTTTGGGCATCAGCCACCTCTCAGTTGCTGGCCTAATAAAAGACTCATAATTCCATCTGATTGTGGCACATTCCTTAACTCGCTCGCGTACAACATTTTGGAGGCCCCAGAGAGAATTTATAGTCACCACCAGGCACAACCACACTCGTTCTGGCTCTCCCCGGCTAAACGGCATCCTATAGGGGAGGCACCCCCTGAGACATTCCAGGGCCCCATGGCCCACTGCCGTCCAAAGGGGAACAAATCAACCACCGTTGATTCGTTCAACAGTGTGTGCCCACCAAATTGGGTTTCTAAGTCCTCCGTCTGGTCCTAGGAAGCTGAGTCAAATCTGTCTCTGGGAGGGAATTGGTCCTGACAAGGGCCTTCCCTCACAACTGTCAGCACTCCAGAACACTGGAGGACAGAGCCCTGGTTTCTGTTAGCTCTGCCAGCACTCTAGTACGCTGAAAGGCAGGGTCTCGGTTTCTGTTAGTGTCTCTGGTTTCTCTTTTTTCTTTCTTGTTCAATGTAAAGTGGCCTCTATCTTAAAATGGGTATAAAAAGTGCAACAAACTGTATAAATGGGAAGTGCATGTGTAAGTGAATGGGAAGTTCAAGGGCCTGCCCTTGAAATTCCAATGTGTAGCTCCACAGCCAAAGCTACAAAGCTCAGAGCAACAAAGCCCCCAAGCTGCGTGTCTGTAGCTACCTCCTAAGGCTCATGGCAGCCCGCTCAGTTCAGTCCGAATCGGGGGTTTGTACCAATCTGCAAATGCCAAGGGGGGCCCAAGGTCCCCGTCAGGGGAACAGCCAGGAGAGCATATGTAACTAATCCCAACACAGGACTGTTTGTCCAAACCATCACAACCGTTTGCATGTCCCAGTGTCTACTGCTCTGGTGTCTACTTAAGCCCGTATGATTTCCTGCCGCTACTGCCCAAGGCGGCTAGGGAAAACTTTATGGTACTCAGTACAGACTTCCATCTAAGGAGGTAAAATCCCTCATTTACCTGTTAGGCTGGTCATCCCAGCCCTGTCTTTTCTGTCGAACACAAATCGGGTGTTGTTACGGGGAAGAGTCGTAAAAAACATTCACCAATTTGACATTTCTGGCACCACAAACACTGTTGGCCTCTCAATTGTCACACCCCGCTCCCCAGTGACTGGTTAAGTCTTTCCTTCTTCTCAGAGCAGTGGTGGGTTCAAAACAGCCATCCTACGAATCTCCTCACTCACCTTTTCTGTCACCCTACAACTTTCCCAGTGCCCCTAAATACAGCACTGTATAGGAAAACCTAGACCCATAATGCTCTTCTTTTCCTAAACACCTACTACCTTCCCACGTGGGTGCACTCTCGTCTTTTGGACAATTCAGGTGGCCCTTTTCCTCCTCACCTCCATCCTTTACCCCAAACGTGTCATTCTGTCCTGTTTAAAAACACCAAAGCAGGGGCACTGAGCCGCGGCCGCGCACTGGCTGGAATTTAAAAGTGCAGTTATTTCCTGCGGGAGCCTGTGTGGGGGGCGGAGCCTGTGTGGGGGGCGGCGGAGCCCGTGTGGGGGGCGGCGGAGCCCGTGTGGGGGGCGGCGGAGCCCGTGTGGGGGGCGGCGGAGCCCGTGGGGGGGGCGGCGGAGCCCGTGGGGGGGGCGGCGGAGCCCGTGGGGGGGCCGGCGGAGCCCGTGGGGGGGGGGCGGAGCCAGAAAGCACTGCCCTAGGGCCTTGCGCTCCTTGCCGGCTCAAAACTGCCCAGCCTCGGGCAAGCCACAGACCACCAGAAAAAACACCGGGGAGAAGCAAGGTACAGCCCAAACCTGCAGGAAACAAGGGAGCCTGGCGCGCGGTTCTGGCAAACCTCCCCGGCATTCCCCAGTCCCAGGCAGCAGTGTAAAAAGCCCCCTAGGTCGTTAGCCTTCTCCCCATAACTCAAAGCTTAAACCCCGCGTGGCAAAAAACCATTGGCTAACACCGTATTCCTACTTCTTCTGGTTATAATACTCCTAGCTTGCCAATTCTCCAGGCCCCCAGGCCATAAATATTTCTGTCTGTGCTGGGTTTAATATTTCTGCTTAAACCTTGTCAAATTGCTTCCAAATTATAAAAGTCTTCCTCCCGCCCCAACTGCAAAACCCTTTCCAATATATGTTTTAAAAAAATCCCTCTCTAGGCTTCTCAGAGGATTACGGAGTCCACCTTAAAAAAAAAAAAAAAAAAGGCAAACTCCAGACTCTCCGGTAAAGTGAAATAGCCAAAATTTAAAACCCGGAAGCCTCCAAAAGGGTCATTAAACCTCACAACAGTTCAAGCTGTGTGGCAGGTTGCTACTGGAAAGCCGGGGCATCCTAACCAGTTCCCTTATATTAATCAATGGCTTAGATTGGTTCAAAACCCTCCCCCATGGCTCCAACCTTGCACTGCTCATAACCTCCCCTCTAACGTTCTTCTAAATAAAGTCCCCTCCCAGCCTCAACCTATTGTTCAGAAAGTGGCCCTTTCTGCTCCCCGTGTTGCCTTCCTCTAAGGAAAAGAAAAACCATCTGCACCCATTACCCCCACCTTATGACCGCCCCCACCCTCTTTCCCAAGAATGCCCCCTGCCTGCTAAGCTCTTTTCTTGGGAGGTTTCTCCGCCCACTGCCTCACAGCCATGGCCCAGGTCAAAGGAAGCCATCCGCTCCTCGCGGTAAGGGAGGCAAAATGCCCATCAGGCAGGAAGCATCCTGCTGCTCCATTTTCACTCTGTGTTCCATTGGCCACCTCTAACCTGTATAACTGAAGGGCTCAAAATCCTGTTTCCTAAAAAGCCCCAGGTGCTAACTGCACGACCAGAGTCTGTGCTCCAGACTCCTAGGCCCAGCTGGGACAGCTGCCAGCAACTCCTTCTTACCCTTTTCACCTCTAAAGAGAGAAACCATTCCCTTAGCTCAAAAGGAAAGCCTCAGGAGAAAGCCCAAGACCTCCTGAAGAAGGTGTTTCCTTCTGCCCAGCCTAAGTGGAACCCTAACACCTGGGGGGAAGGAGGGCTTTGGAAAATTTCCACTAGTATCTCCATGCAGGTATTAAAGGAGCCGCCAGGAAACCTATCAACTTATCTAAAACCATTAAAGTTGCCGGGCGCAGTGGCTCATGCCTGTAATCCCAGCACTTTGGGAGGCCGAGGCGGGTGGATCACGAGGTCAAGAGATCAAGACCATCCTGGTCAACATGGTGAAACCCCGTCTCTACTAAAAATACAAAAAATTAGCTGGGCATGGTGGCGCGTGCCTGTAATCCCAGCTACTCGGGAGGCTGAGGCAGGAGAATTGCCTGAACCCAGGAGGCGGAGGTTGCGGTGAGCCGAGATCGCGCCATTGCACTCCAGCCTGGGTAACAAGAGCGAAACTCCGTCTCAGAAAAAAAAAAAAAAAAAAAAAAAGCTGTTCAGGGAGCTACTGGAGCTATTCAGGAATATCCTGTCACCCACTCATGTAAAGTAAACTTAAGTCAAAAAAAAGTAACCCATTCATTTCTAGTAGTTCCGGAGTGCCCTTTCCCCTTCTGGGGCATGACCTGCTCCACAAGCTGCAGGCATCCATCTCCTCCTCGACTCAGCAAACTCAAGTTAAAAAGCACAATGCCCCCTCCTGCTTAGCTCTTGCTGACCATTCCTCTGTCAGAGGAATATCTTTTTTTTTTTTTTTTTTTCCTGAGACGGAGTTTCGCTCTTGTTACCCAGGCTGGAGTGCAATGGTGCGATCTCGGCTCACCGCAACCTCCGCCTCCTGGGTTCAGGCAATTCTCCTGCCTCAGCCTCCTGAGTAGCTGGGATTACAGGCACGCGCCACCATGCCCAGGTGATGTTTTGTATTTTTAGTAGAGACGGGGTTTCACCATGTTGACCACGTTGGTCTCGATCTCTTGACCTCGTGATCCACCCGCCTCGGCCTCCCAAAGTGCTGGGATTACAGGCGTGAGCCACCGCGCCCGGCCGAGGAATATCTTTAAAAACCAAAGTAGCCCTCTCCTACCGAATCTGCAAGCTCTTTTTTCCCCGGGTTTGGGCAGAATCAAACCCCCCAGGACTGGCAAAAGACCATCCACCGGTGGTTGTAGAACTTCTGGCTGATGCCTTGCCTGTTTGGGTCAAACAATATCCTATGAGTCAGCGGGCTAGAGAGGGAATCAGCCCCCACATTCAACGGCTATCACGAGCTAACAGACTTAGACCTTGTCAGTCTGCTTAAAACACTTCATTTCTGCCAGTTCAAAAACCAACATAATTACTGGCCTGTACAGAACTTGCGGGAAGTTAACAGTCACAGTCCACTCAACTGTCCCTAATCCCTAGACACTGCTCAGCTTGCTCCCACCGAAACATACCGTGGACTCTGTCCTGAACTTAAAAAATGCTTTCTTTACCAGTCCTTTGGCTCCTAAGGGCCAAACCATTTTTGCTTTTAAAGGAACAAACCCTGGTTCGGGAAACACAACACAATTGACTCGAATTCGGTTGCCCCAGGGTTTTAAAAATTCTCCAACTCTTTTTGGGAAAGCCCTTCAGCAGAACCTTGTGTCATTCCAAGCCAGCCATCCCCACTGTACCCTCCTCCAACACATAAATAATATATTATTGGCTACTACGACTGCCAAAAGCTGTCTGCAACATACTAAGAACATGCTTTATCTCCTTCGGGAGCTTGGGTATCAGGTCTCAGCCAAAAAGGCCCAGCTTCGTCTTTCCAGGGTGTCCTACTTGGAACATAAACTAAACCAAGAAAAAAGAGCACTCATCAATGCTCAAACGGAGGCCATCTTACAAATCCCCACCCCCACTACCAAGAAACAGGTATGTAAATTCTTGAGGGCTGTGGGATACTGTCGCCTGTGGATACCTAGGGACAAAAATTGCCAAGCCTCTGTCCAGCGCTACAGGAGAAAATAGCCCTTTAGTTTAACACAAAAAAGCAGGCCTTCCCAAACTTTAAAAAAAAAACGCTGAGGCCCCTGCTTTAGCCCTTCCAAACATCTCAAAACCATTTCACTTGTTTGTCCACAAAAACCAGGGAGTGGCTGAAGGGGTGCTCACTCAAACCTTGGGGCCATGGCAACACCCAGTGGCGTATTTGCCTAAGAAACTAAACCCTGTGGCCTCCGGGTGACCAAGTTGTCTGCCGGCAGTTGCAGCCGCAGCAAGCCTAGTTCATAAGGGCACTGAGCTCACTCTGAGCCTAACGTTAACTCTTACAGCACCACATACTGTAAAAACTCTGCTACAAGGTGCTCCAGGCAAATGGATGTCGAACGCCCGCATCCTGCAGTGTCAGAGTTTGCTGTTCGATCAGCCTCGCTTCACTCTCCCCCACAAGGTGTTTAAATTCAGCTACTCTGCGCCCTAATCCAGCCTTCTCCACCCGTATCCATGACTGCCAGGAATTGCTAAGAACTACAGAGACAGGGAGACCTAATCACCAGGGCACTCCTTTAAAAAAGGCAAACGCAGGGCCGGGCGCGGTGGCTCACACCTGTAATCCCAGCACATTGGGAGGCCGAGGCGGGTGGATCACGAGGTCAAGAGATCGAGACCATCCTGGTCAACATGGTGAAACCCCGTCTCTACCAAAAATACAAAAAATTAGCTGGGCATGGTGGCACGTGCCTGTAATCCCAGCTACTGGGGAGGCTGAGGCAGAATTGCTTGAACCCAGGAGGCGGAGGTTGCAGTTAGCCGAGATGGTGCCACTGCACTGCAGCCTGGGTAACAAGAGCGAAACACCGTGTCAAAAAAAAAAAAAAAAAAAAAAAAAAAAAGAAAGAAAAAAAAGGCAAACGCCACCGTGTTTACAGAGGGCAATCGGGGTAGAGAAAGCTGGTGCCACCATTACCACGAAGACCAGTGAACTGTGGGCCCAGGCACTGCCCGCTGCCACCTCTGCGCAAAAGGCTAAGTTAATTGCCCTTACTCAGGACCTCCAATGGGGTGAGGACAAACGTGTTAACGTCTCCACTGATAGCAAATATGCTTTTGCTACTATGTATGTTCACGGGGCCACCTAGCAAGAGCAGGGGCTACTCACCTGTGCGAGAAAAGCTGTCAAAAACAGGAAAACGATCTTAGCCCTGCTCAAGGCTGCCTGGCTCCCCCTCCAGGTCGCTGTAATTCATTGCAAAGGACATAAAAAAAAAAAATTAATAACTGCTGTAGCTAGGGGAAAGCAGAAGGCAGACTGCCCGCCCCCCCGGGTTACCCCCGTGACTCTGCTTCCAGCCATCTCTTCCCCACAGCCTGGCTTACCCGACCACCCAGCGTGCTCTTCTAAGGAAAAAAGGCAGGCATCACCTCTGCAAGCCAGTACAAATCAGGATGGACGGTGAATCCTTCCCGACTCCACCGTCCCCCGCCCCGGGCCCTCGCGGAGGCCTTCATCGGCCGCCTCCCCCCTTCCACCCACTCGGAAAAAACCAAGTTGGCCCCACTTTTGAAAAGCCGTTTTAGAATCCGACACCTCCGAAAGTTCACTAGCCGAGTGGCCTCCCGCTGCACCCTTGTGCCCGGGTGAATGCCAGGCAAGGCCTGAAGCCATCGTCCCCGAGGACGCAGCCCAGGAACAAGGTGGCAAGTGAACGACCGAAGCCACGCCACGCCGGGCAGCGTGGAGGTGCCTCCTGGGGCTGGCAAACTCCTTTTCCAGATCAACGGGGGCTTGTGCCACTCCAACTGCCACTACCGTAGTAAAGTTCTTACTCAACAGAACCGCCCCCCCGTTATCGACTGCCTGTTGCTACAGGGTCTCCTGGGGGCAGGCCTTCACCTCGTCCACAGCGCAGTCAGCCAGCAAGGCGCTAAATACCCAGTCAGAACTCCACTGTGCCCACCGACCCCAGCGCCCTAAACAGGTAAAACGCATCAATCGTACCTTAAAAAATACTCTTACCAAATGAATCCTGGAAAGCGGTGAAAACTAAGCCTCCTTCCTTGAGCCCTTCTTAGGGTCGGGTGCACTCCTTCCAAGGCATTAAATCCTCTCCTTTATCAAATCCCGTAGAAAAGGCCCCACCTGTTCTGCCTAAATTAGGGCTTACCCAGTTAGCACAACTATCCCAAGCTAACTTGTTACGGTGATGGGCGTCTCTCCACTTTCCAGCAGGTTCAAGGTATTATCCAGCCACCTGTCCGGGACGCACACCCTGATCCAGCTCTTAACAGGACCCTGCCACCCTTTCCGTCCAGATAACCTGGTTTATGTCCGAAAGTTCCAGAAGGAAGGTCCCATTCTCCATTAAGAAAACCTCACACTGTCATCCTTGCTCCACCCACGGCCCTAAAGGTGAACGGTATTCCTGCTCGAATTCATCACTCCCGTGTCAAAAGGGCCAACGGAACACAGCAAAAAACGTGGGGCCCCAAGCCCGGGCCAGGCCCCTTAGGCCTGTGACTAAGTGGGGTGCAGCCATCAGACGTTCTTTCTGTCTTCGTTTCTTTGTTCCTGGTCGCTCAGTCCTCTGCCTCCCACCTACCCTTTTCTTAACGGCTTCTTTTGCAACGGGCTTGTGAACCCTACCTGAAAAAAAAGTACCTTCAATAAAGTTTCTTTTTCTCTCCGTTTCTGTGTTGTGTTCCCAAAGCCCAGCCGTTCCCTCAAAATCCAGCAGAGTTTGCCCCTGAGGGTAGGAGCCGAACCCGTTAACCCTGCGGCAGGGTTCGAACAAGCTGAAAGTAAGTGAATGCAGCCACTCAAGGGAGACGGAAAATGGGATTCCAACAAGTACATTTCTACCTCTGTCCCAAAAACCACCCTAACGCTGCCCGCAGGATAGTTACAGGTTTTCTGTCATGTAAAACCCTTAACTACTTTAATAACTAATCAGCAGACCTCTTCTCCTCCTCTGGGTGGGGTTAACTTTCCAGCCCTGTATATTAAATTGGTTTATTGATTTTGTAAAACGGCTTCCAATTTATGTATCTTAAAACCCAGTCTAATCCCCTCTCTATAACTAAGGAATCAATCATTTAAATCCCCAAAAACACACGTGGGCAATGTGATAACCTGCTTTTGGCCGGCTAAAACTCACTCCCTCTCAGACTGAGAGCTGCTCAGGCTTCACGTGAGCTTCTTAAGCCGGACAGACTCCATCTTAGCTTCTTCCTTTTAGTTATTTTCCCACCATTGAGTACGAAACTGTAGCATGGAGCTGGGGCAGGCTGACACTGGGCACGCCCAGAAATGCATCTGCTCATGAAAGGCCAAGTGAAGTGGCCCCAGCAGACCCTGGGAATGCAGGTGCTGTGGAGCGCCCCAGGCCCCCAACATCTCCAAGGCTCCCATCATCTGTACGTTGTATGTTTCGTAACAGCGTCACCCCAGCACTGTTTTATTCCTCATGTACTAGTTGATCTTTTAACTGTTTGCTTACTCTGCTTCTGTAACCAATTTGCCTCAGCTAGGTTCCATCTCTCTTTTCAAACTAGGGTATAAAAGACCACCTAACTTTTTCTTAAGTGTCAAAAAAATTGGGGGCGTTAGTCACCTCTGGGTCACCAGCATGATAAAGGACTCTCATCACCACCAGGCCTGCTTTACAAGAGCTTCTGAAAGAACCACTAAACACAGAAAGAAACCACCAGTATCAGCCTTTCTAAAAAATACCAAAAAGTAAAGAGCATCAACATAATGAAGAATTTACATCAACTAATGGGCTCAACAGCCAGCTAACATTAAATGGCAGTATTAAACTCACATATATTATTATTCATTCTAAATTTACATCGACTAAATCCCCCAATCCAAAGACACAGGAAAAAAAAAAAGCCAAAACCCATCAGTATGCTGCATCCAGACCCATCTCACATGAAAGGATACACAAAGACTCAAAACAAGGGATGGAGAAAGATTTACCAACCAAATGGAGAGCAAAAATAAATAAATAAATAAAAAGCAGGAGTTGCAATTTTTGCCTCTGATAAAATAGACTTCAAAGCAACAAAGATCATAAGCAAGGAAGGACATTATATAATGATAAAAGGATCAATGCAACAAGAAGAGCTAAAGATCCTAAATATATACACACCCAAAACATGAATACCCAGATAAATAAGACTTATAAAGAGACTTGACCGGGCGCGGTGGCTCACACCTGTAATCCCAGCACTTTGGGAGGCTGAGGCGGGGGGATCAAGAGGTCAAGACATCGAGACCATCCTGGTCAACATGGTGAAACCCCGTCTCTACTAAAAATACAAAAAATTAGCGGGCCATGGTGGCGTGTGCCTGTAATCCCAGCTACTCGGGAGGCTGAGGCGGAGAGTTGCCTGAACCCAGGAGGCGGAGGTTGCGGTGAGCCAAGATTGTGCCATTGCACTCCAGCCTGGGTAACAAGAGCGAAACTCCTTCTCAAAAGAAAAAAAAAAAAAAGACACTTAGACTCCCACACAATAATAGTGGGAGACTTTAACATCAATATTAGACAGATCACTGAGACAGAAAATTAACAACGATACCCACGATTTGAACTCAGATCCGGAACAAGTAAACTTAATTAACATTTATAGAACTCTCCACTTTAAATACACAAAATAGACACTCTTATCAGTACCACATCACACCTATTTACAGCTTTAAATGAAATATTGGTTGGCTGCTTGTTTGTTATTTTCCTCCCTCATGTTTTTTCATGTCTCCATTAATAAGCACAGTTATAGGCATACCCATTTTTAGACTGCATTCCAGCCCGGGCAATAAAGCAACACCCCTGTTCTCTCTCCCTCTTCCTCTTCCTCTCCATTTTTTTTACTCTTTTTTTTCTTAAATAATAATAAATAAAGGACTCATAATTCAATCTCCGAGTGTTGGGCATTCCTTAAGTCGCTCGCGTCCAACACCAGGTCCCTGAAATCCTACGAGGTGGCAAAGCTTGTCAGTTAGATACTGTCTCTACTCTCACATGCCATTTGTGGTCTGGGATTTGGCCCTGATGAGTACCTGTATCTGGACTTGCCAGTGGAAATGGAATGGCAGTCCTGGGCACACAGCCCATCAGCTTTCATTACCCTTTTAGTAACAAAATCAAGGCAACGGGGTGTGGTGGCACATGCCTGTAGTCCCAGCTATTTGGGAGGCCAAGGCAGGGGAATTGCTTGAACCTGGGAGGCGGAGGTTGCAGTGAGCCAAGATTGTGCCACTGCACTCCAGCCTGGGTGGCAGAGCGAGAATCCGTGTCAAAAATACAAAAATCTAGGCAACCGCTCATGTTGCTGCCAGTAGCATCCAGTTCTTGGCAAATCGTAGGCAGGAGGTGCTCCTCCTTTCTCCTGTCCAAGACAAATAAAATATTGGATGAACCTCTGAAATTAACATATTTGGGAGGAAACAATTGCCATTCAGGATACACACGCAGACCAGCTGGTCTTTGATATGTCCAAAAAAAGCGGGATACGAAAAGAAAAAGAAAAAAGGGATCCAAGATGGCTGATCACTAACAGCTCGGGATTGTAGCTCCCACTGAAAACGCAAAGAATGAGAGGACGCCACACCTTCACATGAATTCTTGTTGCTCACGCACCAGGAGATTCCCAGCGGAGGAGCCCCACGGGTCGCCAGCGCGACTCTTGTGACCGGCGAGGCGGTTTTGCCGGCGCCTTGGAGCGACGGTTCTTGGTGCAGAGTCGGAAAAGCACCATTAATCTTAACGCCGCTGATTTGGTCGGTGCAGTGGGTCGCTCAGATTTCGGCGCTGAGAATCAGTAAGTTGGACGTCCACTCAGAAACCCAATTACAAAGACGGTGAATTCAAAGACCACAGATGGATAAATTTATAACGAAGGGAGGAAAATGGCCAAAAAAGGCTGAGAATGCCCAAGATCAGAACGCCTCTCCCTCAGCGGGGGATCCCAGTTCCTCACCAGCAACGAAACAAGGCTTGATGGAGAACCAGTGTGTTCCAATTACAGAAGCAGGCTTCAAAATGTGGATAATGAGAAACTTCTGTGAATTAAAAGAACTTGTTTTAACCCAATCTAAAGCAACTAAGAACTTTGAAAAAAGATTTGACGAAATGTTAACAAGAATACACAATTTAGAGAGGAATATAAGTGAATTG